GGAGGGAGGGAAATCAGTGATGAGGGCTCTAATGTTCGAGGAAGTAGGATGTCAGTATCCATAGTCTACTCTACCAACATCTTCTAAACAAAGGTCTTTAATTTGGAGATTGGGATAAATCATTAATTTCCCTCTAAAAATACTGTATAGAATTGAAGGATACTATGTGGTAATGAGACTCTATAAAACAATGGAAGAAGGGAAAATGCACTATCTTGCCTACAAGCCTCCATCCATACCTTCACTTTACCAAATGACAGAACATTTACGGAAGGGGTAGTTATCTGATTTAGATAGCTACATATGAAGAGTCTAAAGCCAAAAAAAGTGGCTCTCCTTGAATGACTGTTGCCATCCCCTAGGACCAGGCCTATGACAGCCATGAAGTACACAGGGCACATGGTGGCTGGTTTCTTCTAATTGTGGCATCCCCCGCCCCTGCACAGCCCAAGTGAACCGAATGGACCCTCCATCAGGTTCATCCAGCAGTACATGAAGGGATTTCTGACTGGACAGCAAGAGGCAGGACTTGGGGGCTATTCTCCCTGCTACTGAAAATGCCATTGACAACCAGGATGGTTCTGTATATGGGGCTATTCACTGTTACGTAAGCATAGGCCTTTTATGCCATCCTCTAACAAGCAATAGGAATTAAAAGCCCAATATAAATAACATACTGACCCCTTTATAAAGATATCCATATAACCCTTCTTTTAGAGGAAGGAGCTGAACTTTCAACAAATGTCTTCTTATGGAAAAAGTAAAAAAGAGAACTTATTTTTAGTTACAGATATCTGTAGTCTAGAGGCAATGATAACAGGTTAAAGACCAGCAACAACTGGTAGGCTGTGATGATCTAAGCTCCTTCCTCGAGTATTACATATTTATATTACCCAGAGAAAGGGTAACTATAACTATAGCTATAGCTGTGACTATAGATAATCCTGAAGAGCAGAAAACATTTTTAAAATCTGGAGAAAAGTGAGGGTTTTATGATGAAAGAAAGGTGATTCTGAGGTTGGAGAAGACATAAAAATCCTACAAGTACTGCTAAAGCACCCCCTTGTACCAAGGGTCTCTTAATGTCTTCCAACAGCTTTTTGGATCTATTTCAAATCTACAGGATGGTAGTTCCCATGACAATACAACCAATTTTACAATGAAAACCTTTATAAAGCTATTTTATGAAGTAGAAGAGATTAATAATTTTTAAAATGCAGGTGAGTTATATACAGAATATACCTAAGATCATAATCCTTCATGTAGCACTGTAAGAGTCCTAAATATCATACAATAAACTTGACAGGGGAATTTTTATTCTCAAATTTTGAGCATTCAGTATGACCACTGTTTTAAATCAAAAGACAACTTCTTAAGTCTGCAACGTGGTAGAAAAGAGATGTTGGAATACTTTTTAGGAAAACTACAAACAAATGAAAATGGGCATCTGAATTTGAATTTTTCAGTTGAGGAACATCCACTGAGACATTCCGCAGCATCGGTTTACAAAGTGCTGCAAATTACTGTGACTACGCATTGCCAGCTGGATCAAGTATAGCTCAGATTTTCGAAGTATGACGTGCTTTGTTTAAAAATTCAAATGAAGAAATCTTTGTCAGGTTCAAGAAACCTAAAATGTTCCTATGTGGGTGGATGTACAAGAAGAGAGACAAAGGGAAAAAAGGAAGGAACAGAAGGATAAAGTTACTGGGCAACAGAGACTATGTCCTACATTAAAAGCCAGAAAATTCTTTTGAAATTATACTAAAAAAAGAGTAGAAATGCAAAATAAATGTAAAAAGCAGTATTTCAGTTACTGGGGGGGGGAGAAGCGCCACATCAACATTTCAGTTCTGGCCAGATACTAAACCTAACTTAAAAAATCAACAAAGTTAACCTGTGACTTTTAGTTTACAGTATATATTTTAACATATGCTAATTCAAGCCACCACCGTTTGCTAAACCATTTGTTAAAGGTTCAAGGTCCTGAATCTCACTGTAACAATAGTTTAAACACTAATCAGCCTTCCCCAAAATGTCCGAACCCCAAATTAACAGAGAATCCCTCAAAAATAACGCTGTATACTTACTAGTTTTCATGGCATTTGGAGCGTTGGAAGGTGCGTTCCCCCAGCCTGTGGTCGATGCTCCTGTGTCGTCCATTTCACCCCACCCAGGACTGCTTTCATTTGGCTCACCCCAAGCAGAAGTACCATTATCTGGAGCAGGTGGTGTGCTTTTGCTCCAGACTGTAAAGACAGGAAATGTGTCTCTAAGAATGATGTATTAAATCAAACACCATAATATCCAGTGGGGGTGAAGGCGGGAAGAACAGGCATTCTGAAAAATATAAGTGGGTTCTACCTTCACGGAGGGCATTAGGTATTATCACTTTGGTCCAGTAATTCCACTGCCAGGAAATTATACCATAGCTAAATTTATAAAAGTAGATGAAACTACATGTCCAACAATGCCCACTGTATCACTGTTGGAAACCATTTGGAAGCAACCCAAATATCTATCAAAAAGGGACTGGTTGCACCAATCATAGATGACCCATAAAATGAATACTATATACAAAGCAATTACAAGACAAAAATGTATGTGGTAATATAGAAAGTTTTTAAGTATAATGAAAAAAGCAGGGTGAAAAACAGTATATATACTACAATCCCTTCTGTGTAAAATTATTAAAGCATAGATATATTTTGCTATAGGTATGAACAAAATGTTTAAATGAGATTATCTGTGGGGAGATACCCTAGGGGCTAATAAGATTCATTTATTTTTTACCTTTTTTTTTTCCTGTCTAGTTTCAAGGTTTGTACTATACAGACATCCCTTGGTATCTGAGGGGGACTGGTTCCAGGACCAAAACAAGGATGCACTAGTTCCTTATGTAGAATGGAGTAGTATTTGCATATAACCTATACACATCCTCCAATATTCTTTAAATCATCTATGGATTAGTTATAATACCTAATACAATGAAAATACTATGCAAATAGTTGTGATACTGTATTACTGACAAGGAAAAAGTTTGTACATGTTCAGTACAGATGCAACCATTGTAGGCCTAACTACACAGTACATAATAACGTAATTCTGGATTTTTGTTTTTTCCAAATATTTCTCATCTTTGGTTGGCTGACTCTGTGGGTGAGGGAATCAGTGGATACAGAGGGCCAACTATGTGGATAAAGTTATTTTTTATGTGTTAGTAGGTTTTATTCTAGATAAGGAATTAATGAACAATCTTCATTTCCTTCCTCATTCTTTTCAATATTTGGGGGAAGAAAAAAAACTAGTTAAAAGTAATCATTTTCTAAGTGGCCATAATTAAATCCACTAGACACTCTGGGGAGTGGAAAACTGAATATTGTGATTAATTTTAACAATGGGGGAAAAAAAACCCAAAGGGAAAAAAGCCCTATTTGAATAGTACATCCCTTTAGTTGAACTATATGCCTTATGGGGGCATTCGAGTTGACAATGCCAAACTAGAATATTACCAGCGCTACTTTTAATTTACTAGGCATGGTGTTCCTAAGCGGGAAGAAATTTAAATTCTGGACAACTGATTATCATGAGATAACAATCTCTCATTCAAAGTAATCTACTTTCAAAGGTAATCATTAAAATTATCTGGAAAGTGACCAAAACCTTCCAGGTCCCAGCTCCACTACAGTATTTGGATGGCATCTGCAAGAACACACAATACTTCCCTTCACTGGGGAGAGAAACACTGGGGATATGGCCACATGTAGAGCAGAATGGAAATCAGGTCTACTTCAGCTACTATTTTAATTCTTTACTTTTAAATGTAGAGCACAGTTTGTTTAGCAAGATTTGTCTTTAGGATTCTGCAGACCAATACAATTACAAAAAAAAAAAAATTTGGGAGACTAACACAAGGATACCATCTTTTCTTTTTGCCAAGAAAGAACATTAAAATGTACTACCAGCATCTGTTATCACTATCATGTTATAAAAAGAGAGCTTCTGTTAATGTAGGAAAGATTCCCAGAACACAGCTAAGTTGAATAAATGCAGCTTAATAAAAATACCTTGGTTTAGAATTTATTTTCATCAAAACCTGCAAGAAAAGCCACTGCCTACCTGATGCTGATTTACCGGTCATCGGGGTAGGCAGGTTTGGTTCTCGAGGTGCTGGGCCCCCTTGGGCATTCTTATCCCACAGATTCACATTCTTGTAGTTATAACTGTTGGGGTCTCCCCATGCTGAAGTGCCATCATCAATGTCCATTTTCCGACTAATTGACTGTGGGGATGGCTCTTCCCAACCACTGGGTTCCTCATCCTTAGGGGTTACTGGCTGCGGCCCGCTGCTCCAGTTGGAATTGGAAGGTCGTCCATTGCCTGGAGGTGGTGGGTGTGGGCCTCCCCATGAACCAGAAGCCTCTGGTTGTGGTGGCGGTGGCTGCTGCTGTTGGTGCTGTTTATTCCAGGAATTGGGCTGTCTGCCTGTTTCAGTCCATGCTGGAGATCTTTTGCAATCTTCCCAACCGCCTTTGGAAACTAGGCTTGCATTCCCGCCATTCCCCCAAGTTCCAATTTCATTCTGCCCTCCTTCACCCCACCCCGACACAGGTTTACTCGCAGAACTTTCCCAGTTGCTGTTTTTTGCTTGATCAACTTCCTCTCCCCAACCATTCTTTCCAGAAGCCCATCCTTGATTGGGCGGGCGTCCGCCCCCCCACCCCTGATCCTTGCTGGAATTCTCATTCCAAGAGGAAGATGTCTTTTCGTCTGGTCGTCCTCCTCCCCAACTGGAAGAGTTGTTCTTATAATCATTCCAGCCTCCTGTGTTCTTGGGGTCTTTCCACTCTGTAGAGGCTGAGAGCTCCCCCCATCCAGACTTCATTTGATTGCTTTGGCTGGGTGCATCTCCCCAGCCCCCTGAGTTCTTGGTCTGTGTGGCAGCGCTCTCCCACCCCTCAGTTCCTTTGTCAGATTTCCCCTCAGGCCTTGGCACCTCTTCAATATCCCACACCGTGTCCTGCTTAATTTGAGTTTGGCCCCAGCCAGTGTTTGAGAGCACCCTGGGGTCCAAATCAGTTCGGCTCAAAAGAGTCTGCAAGACAGCCTGACAATCAGGATGTGTGGGCCTATATGACCGACGGCCAGAATTATGACTGTCACTACTTCCTGCTTTGTGGTTGCTTCCAGTGCTTTGACCTCCAACTTCACTTCCTGTGGAGCTGGAAGATCTTCCCCAACAGGGAGCCTGGGCATTGCCTTGGTTTTCAGGGAGGGGGTGGCCCTTTTGATTGTCCCATGCTCCAGTGCTAGAATTTGGTTGGTTTGGACCACTCCATTCTCCAATTTTCAACTCATCAGACCCAGTCGGCTGTTTCCATTCTCCCTGAGAGACCCCAGATGTTATTTTGTTCCCTTCACCCCATTTGTTGTCATTAGAGTCCTGAGGGCCAAAGTTCCAGGACCCACCCGTAGACCTGTTATTGTCCCAAGAGTCATTTTTTGACCCAGTTGACTTCTGAACAGAAGCTCCTTTCCAGGAGTCCTCTCTATCCTTTCCATTGTTCCCATTGTTTCCAGAATTGCTTTGTCCAGAGGCTGTGTCAGTTCCAGAAGGCCCCCTAGCTGCACCCCAAGATCCAACACTCCCAGTCTTTCGATCTCCAGTGCTTTGTGAAGGGGCATCAGTGCTCCTGGAGGCGTTCCCCAAGCCCATTCCAAAGGGCATTCCCTTATTCTCCATGGGGTTTGGTGAACTTAAGTTCAAGGAGTTAGTGTTTCCATTTTTTGGTCCATCAGTGTTATGAATCTGAGCCTGTTCTCTGCCAGAAACAACAAAATTAACACCCGCATTTTCCATCTTTGACTGCTGTTCCCTGGATGCCTGACCTACTGTGCTAACCTGTGCACTGGAATTACAAGTATCTGTTTCCAATGCCCCTTTCCTAGAATTTCCTTCTTGGACCAGTGCTGGCCAGGCAGATGGGTTGCTATTTGGGTTAAAGTTGCTGAAGCCGGAGCCAGGTCCAATTCTATCCTGACCACTCACATTCCTCCAATTTCCTAGTCCATTGTTGCTCTCTGCAGTAGAGTTGGAAGATTGAACAGGTTTAGCCTTAGAGTCAGATTTCCAGACCCCAAGATTACATTCGTTCCCAGAACTTGCTGACTGGCACTGGCTCCCTTTTCCTTTGTTACTAGTGGTGCTTCCTGGCAGAGTGCTCTTCTCAGAGCCAGGGTTCGAGGCACTATTGTTATCGGTGGTGTTTTCGGAAGAAGACTCAGTGTCTTTGCTGGCAATACAAGGCCACTCTTCCATGTTAGACCTATCTGCAATCACCTTGTCCCAGATGTGAATTGGGTTGGGGGAGGTGCCGTTGTTGGAGGAGGCTCCCGGGCCCCAAGTGGAATTTGCATAATTTGAAGCAGCAGCACCTCCAAGGGTTGACTCTGGGAAAGAGATTGTCTTATCAATCACAGATACATATGCACACTCTACTAACATCTCAAGCTCAAACTGCAAGAGAACTCATCACATTTCCCCAGAAACTAGATTCTCCACCCAGTTGCCTGTCTTGGTGAACTGTACCATACCTGTTTTAGTCATTTCTTCTTACCTGGTTGTTGTACTAGCTGCTAAGTCCAACTCCACAGCATCTCTCAAAGCTATACCTCTACCATTTCTACTGACAGAGAAGGGACTTCCTGTATCAAGACAATGCAGTAACACCCTGCTTGCTCTGTATCTCCAATCTACTCGTAAGCACTACTGGCTGGGGGCATTTTTCTAAAGGACACTTTTGATTGTATCACTGCTGTATGAAACACTGTCAATAGTTCTTACTGCACAAGAATAAATGTAACTCTTTAATCTGGAGTTTGATCAAGATACTCCATGACCTGGGACCAAGTGACTTTTCTAGTCTCATCTTCCACTATTTTCTATGGAGACATCTACATTCCATATTACTTGACATTCCACAACTTGTGCCTTCTCACCCAGACACCATTACACATCAGCACTTACTGTTTTTTCCTTCTGAATTCTCAATTCATACACTGAAATTTGCCCACTTTTCTGGGCCTAGTTCAAGTGCCATTTTTTTATGAAGATTTTTTTTTTAGCTCATCACCCGAAAATAGTCTTTCCCCATCTAGATTCACTTTGCTTAGTGCCAGAATATTGTGTTCATGTCTTCCCTTCCCTATGTTAGCGCTTTTTAGGCAGAGACCCTATCTTGATAATGTTTGAATTCCACAGTGTCCGGTACATCGCTGCTCAGTGAGCATCAGCTGAATAATGAATGCCGCCCAGCTGGATGTCAGGGGCAGACAGGAATTAGTCAGACATTTTAGTGGAATTTACCATATTCAGTGGGGAAAAAATGACATGTTTTAAACCTGATAATTTCTTCTAAACTTATTTAGCTCCTTTAACCAAGCAGCTTAAAATCACTAAGAAGTTGAAAAAAATACAACATAAAGCCATATAAAAGTAAGGAAGCACAGAATCTCAAAGTCTTGAGATTTAAGGGCCTCCTTGGCTTTAAAAATGTAAACAGGAGATTCTTGCTCACACTGGAACCAGGTCTACATTTAGGCCTGGCTAGACTGGGCTGTAGAAATGCCCGACACAACTGCCTCTCACATACTTTCTTTTGTATCTGGTTACAAGGGGCCGGGAAGGAAGGGCCAGGAGGCCTTCCCTGAGGGTTTTGGGCCTGGCCTGATGGTCACCACAAGGAAGCCTCATGCATGGGGCTTATCTCTGCATGAAGCTTATGTCATACCAGGTTTCTTTCCACCCTTACTCTGCACATGAGACAATGAGAGAATTTTTCAGGCAATTCTATGTTCAAACTTAGACTAGAATAAAGCATCCTATTGTTAACAACCACAATTCATTGTCCTTGTCTTGCTTAATGGTGCTCAAGTTCTGAGTTTTAATATAGTCTCAAAGAAACATTTTAAGAGATAAATCAGCTTATGAGCTAAAAAAATGTATTTGGAAGTTTTTAGCTGTTAACTGATTTAGCATTCAAGCCCTAGCCAGTATGGCCCATTGGTTAGAGCATCGGCCTGCACACATGAGGGTCGTGGGTTTGATTCCTGGTCAAGGGGCACGTACCTGGGTTGTAGGTCTGATCCCTGCCCCTCACTGGGGTGAATGTGGAAGGCAACCAACTGATGTGTCTCAGTCACATTGATGTTTCTCTCTCTCCCCCCACTTCCACTCTCTATAAAAATCAATGCAAAAAATATCCTTGCTCCTAGGGAGAAGATTACAAAAATTTTTTTTTTTTCAAAACTTCTAGTGGAACCCTTGAACTAAAGACCCTTGCATCTACATACAGTTTTTAATAATGCTCAAAATCAAGGGTGCCCTAAAGAAATAATGCTTTAAAAAAATCTAATAAAAGATTATAGAATGATATTATTTGTTATCCTCCCAAGATTCTAGAGAGTCATCTAAGAGACCATTCTTTCTACCTGCCTAGCATTGTGGGAGCATAAATATGAGCATCTAAGCTTCGGAACACGCCCTCGCACTAGCCTCACTTCTAATCATACTTGGAGCACACGTGACGACAGCTGGAACTATGAAGGCTTGAATTTGTAATGCTCTTGTTTGAGAAGGGAAAAAAAGGCTCCAAAGAGTGATGACAAACAGCAGCTATGTTAGCCTCTCACGCAAGAGCACGCACTCACTAGACATTAAAACCCAGTTTCAGAAGAGAAATGCTGATATACATTTCATACTGGGATTCTTTCCCATCTTTTGAATAACTCCAACAGCCTATATAATTAACGTTTTTTGCAGACTCTACACCAGGCAATACTCAAGAAGTGCTCTCCCTCTCTAAAGCTGCCATGAATTCAAGACAGCAACACTGATTCCTCACCTGGTGCAGTCCCACTCTCACTCTGCAGCAGCGTTCCTGTCACTTGTGCGTTGTTTGGGTTTGCTCCGGGTGCTGTGGAGGGAGGAGGCCCTGCCCCGCCCCCGAGGAGCATGCAGGATGGTGGAGGGGGCTGCCCACGTTTTAGTAACACTTTGTGGTCCTGCTGGCAACGGAATCGCGGCGGCACCTCCCGAGGCATGTAGCGGGCGGCGCTTGGCGGTTGTCCGTTCGGCACTGCCACCCTTTTGGCATTGTTGCCACCATTGACTGGTGGCGATGGAGAGCTGCCAATTGGGCTGGCGGCCGTTGGTTGGCTTAAACTTGGTTTCGTCACTTCGGGCACTGAAAGAAAGATTGGGAAATAACCTTTGAAATCAAATACATTTTTCTAAAGATTTTAAAGAATGCTTACGTGGGACCAATTGCAGTAAGACAGCCCTCCTTTTGTCCAATTCCTGATGGACATGCTCTTTCTGAATTGCAAGCATCTTTAGTTTACTGAAGGTAGGGTGGAGGTGGGGAGTGATGGTGACAAGGATTCAAAGACACCAATATCATGGAATTCCATTCCATTGACTAAGGAGGAGATCTGAAGCAATCCCTACTCACTCCCCTAAATCAATAGTGGGAATCCCTGAAGGGCTGCCCAGTAGGCCTACGGATACACATGGTCCCCAAAGTCCTTGGTAAATGTTTAAGGCTCTCAGCCCAAGGGCCCTTGGGCCCTTTCCTGTCATCCACATTCTTAAAGACCTACCTCTGAGAAGCTTTTCTTGAAATCCCTGGACTAGGTAGGCTAAGCACCCTTCACTTGTGCTCCTAAAACACAATGTCCATCTCTCTTTACCACTGAATTTACCATATTATATTAAAATTCTCCCTTTACAGGCCCCTCTTCCTCAACATGCCATAAATCCCACAAAGCCTGAGACATATCTTTCTTACAGCCTGCCACAGAGAACCTCAATATAGAGGATCACAAAATCAATGTGTGGGTTACTACAGCTACCTGAACTCAAAGACTCTTGCTTGGCACTGTGTGTGTAAATATTAGAAATGTTATAAATCTTTTTGCTTTTGCCCCCCTCCTCCCATTTTAAGTGTATCTTGTGGGGGTTTTTCCAACTCTTTATTTAAAATAAAAATTTCAAAATGTAGATACTTTTCCTATTGACTTTAATAATTTATGTTTTAGCTTACTTTTAAAAATGGCATAAGGAAGTGTGGGCATGTGCTGGACGACTGTTAAGCTATACTCTGCAAGACCCTCTGGCTCAACCCTACAGAGGCTGTTCTCCTGGATCTGCACCTCACTTGCTGCATCCTACCAAAAGACTGCCACCCTTTCCAAGAAAATTTACCTGGCAAATAGAGGCTGGCAGTAATACAGAAACAATCATTGAGCCTGATAATTCAGATGATTCTGAAGCCAAAATCCCTGACATCCAGAGTAATGTTAGGGCCAGCTCTGGTGGCAGTACCGTTCTGACTGCTGAAATGATGCTGGGCCAGCATGCTGCTCGTTGAACTGGCTCCTTTATGAGGAGAGAGATACATCGTCAGAAATCAGCGGGCCCAACCTACACCCACTGGGCATTGGTGAGTGCCGAGTAACAGGAGAAATGAGTAGATGCCTGAAGTAACATCAAAGCAACCCTTAGGCCTAACCTTAGCCCATCAGGGGGCTGCAGGGGGCCTCCTGGTAAGGAAGGTAGGTCGGATCAGCCATAATCTGACGAGTAGAATAAACATATGACTTAAGAAAATAAACTGGTCATTGTCTAATATTTTTAACACAGTACCCTCTGCATGAGCTACAATAGCCAATGGATAAATAACTGATAAATTGATGAATAAAGATGAATTATTTAATGATTCATTTTCTATCTGTGTCTTGAAGATTTAATACCACATGGAATTCTCAATCCCCTTTCCTCATCATGAGAATATGCAAGGAGATGGCGAAGACTGGGGGGATTCTTCCCAAGTGGTTCTTAGGATGGAAAGAGCTATGTTCCTGCAAGGCTGCTCTTCTACAAAAGGGCTACAGTCTTCACGTTAGTGAGGTCTGTCACATGCCTTGACTCATTTCCCCAAGATAGCATAAGACACAGTAAGACCAGCCTACTGGAGTGAGGTCTGCACACTAGTCTGACCAACTCTACAACACTCACAGCACAACCAAAGAAATCTGGTGAGTATCATACATTGTGTAAGATTCCCTGCTAAAGCTCCTCGGGGCATTTTCTCACCATCACATCAAAGACAGAATGGAACGTAAATCACTCATTTACTCCCCCAAACCATTTATTTACTCTAAGGATTGAATCTTTTCCCCTTCCCTATTGCTTTAAATATCTTATAACATTCTCATCTCACAGTTTGAACTTCTAATTGCCTCGATTTCTGAAAAACTTCAATAAGATGCTATGTTTTCAGATAAAAAATATTAAGAAAATTCTGAAACAGGCAGAACGAATACAAACTACTATTTTCTTTAAATACCTTGATGGTACCAAACATTAAAAACAATCTAGAGCCCAGCTGGTGTGTCTCAATGGTTGAGTGTCGATTCGACCCATGAACCAAGAGGTCACTGGTTTGATTCCTGGTCAGTGCACATGCCCGGGTTGCGGGCTCAAACCCCAATGGGGGGCATGCAGGAAGTGGCTGATCAATGATGTTTCTCTCACAGATGTTTCTGTCTCTCTATCCCTTCTCCCTTCCTCCCTCTCTAAAAAAAAAAATCAATAAAATACATATTTTTAAAAATCTAGAAAATGTTTAAAGTAATAGTTGAATACAAACAAGTCCTAGAAAAGACATTATTTTAGACTGAAAATTTCTTGTAATGAATAAGCAGTTACAATGTAGTACAAAAAAACCTCAAAGATTAATGACACACAGTGAGTGGCCCATGCACACTGAGCAATTTTCAGTGACCTCTAAGCACTGTCTCCATTTCTTTACCTTCCACTCATTCTCCAAAATCAATGTATACTGGCTTTTTCCCTAACATCTCTAGGAGTTTCTCTCATCCTTACATCACAGTGATCTTCATTCTCGTCTAATAGGCCACTCATTGGACCTATTTTTTTCTTGGACTTTTCTTCAATGTGACACTACTAGTTGTTCACTCCCTCTCTGTTTTTGTGAGACTCACTCCAGCTAGCTCTTCAGATTTTCTCTCTTCCTTTGTGAGTTTGTCATATTCTTTTTTCAAACATTTTTTAAAAGCTGAGTTTTAGACATAGAGGAAGGAAGAGGGGAAGAGGGAAACATCAATGTGAGAGTGGAACATCGATCTGCTTCCTCCTGCACACCCTCTACTGGGGACCGAACCTGAAACCTGGGCCTGTGCCCTGACTCGGAATCAAACCAGCAAACTTTCAGTGCACAGGATGACGCCCAACCAACTGAGCCACACTGGCCAGAGTGGTTTCTCATACCATTAATCAGGGGTTAGTAAATGTTTTCTGTAAAAGGCCAGAGAGTAAATATTGTAGGCTTTGCTAGCCATATGATCTTTGTCCTGATGACTTATTTCTGTACATTTAGGGCAAAAGCAGTCACAGACAACGTATAAATGAATGAGTGTGGCTGTGTTCCAGTATCATTTTCATTGTTGTAAAATTCTTGTTCTTTCCCCAACCATTTAAAAATGTACAAAACATTCTTAGCTCACTGGCAGTACATAAACAGGCAGTAAATGTACTGCCCTTGAGTCAATTTGGCTCAAGGGTCACAGCTGGCAACTCCTGCTTTTGACTATACCCTTAATAAGAGTTGCAAGATGGCAGCTGAATTTGGTCGTAAGTTGGATCTTTTAAAAAAATCTTAATATGAAGGGGGGCCTGCACCCTTCCCATATTTAAGTTACTTGAATAAAAACTCTCCCAAGCTTAGGCTTCACCACTATGTAAAAATGTCTCCCAAATCACTATCTCCAACTCAGAACTCTTCCACCTTTCCCCTCACTCTCAACTTGTTCCCCTGCTCCCCTCCCATTATCTCCTGGTTCAAGAAATAGAGTCATCATCCAACCAGCTGCTGAAGTCAGAAAACTGGAAGGTATCTTAGCCTTTGCCCTTTCCTCCACGCACCATTATCTAATTGACATTAAATTCTACTGAGCCAAAGCATCTCTCTCATTCCTTCCTTCCTATCACCACTGCTTCTAAACAGGCTCAAATCCTCATTACCTCTCATCTGGGCCACCTACCCGAGCCACATGTCTTATAATACTTCACATTCATTCACTTTCTAGAGCAGGGGTGGGGAACGTCTGGCCCAAGGGCCGTATATGGCAGGCAAAATCAGGTGGGCAACCTCAGGCAGGACTCAAAATTCAATAAATCTAGAAGCTTTATTCATAGCTAATTTTTAAGTTGATAATTTTGTATGACCTGCAAATGATACTATAAATATCCAAATGGTCCTTGGCAGAAAAAAGGTGCCCCACCCATTTTCTAGAGAAAGCCAGTTCCATCCCTGAAGAAATGGCTCCCACCACAGTGTTAGAACATACAGGTGTCTCTTCTGCAACTAATTTAGATGTAAATTATTTACTTGGGGGAAAAACCCCACCTCAAATATTAATAAATTAGAGTAAACTCAAAATTATCCCAACCACCAACATGTACTCACTGTAATATGCCTTCTAGAATAGGCTCAAAAAACAGAGTTGTGGCCAATGCACTGCAATGGTCCATCACCCAGGTGCGCTGATAGAAAGGTGCTGTCCCTCAGCTGTGTCCCAAGAGGATAGAGGTTATGAATTACTGCTTTGGACAACAATATCTAATTTTTTTAAACTTATATTGAGCTGGAAGCTTTTCCGTGTTGCTTTCACTCACCATTGGTACTTTGGGATGAGAATGGGTCTCAATGAACAAAACATCCAACAGACATTTACCAAGGAACTGCTAAGTGTTAGGTACCACAGCAGCGCTTCAAATCTTGGAAGACAGTTACTTGATCTTCCCCAGGTGGGAAGCCTTCCCCGGGGGCTGATCATCCCTGGGTGTTTAACCTTCCTAGAGGTGACACAGGTTCACATTTCTTAACCAATCTGGCCCAAATGCCACACGGTCCACAGAGGTTTATCTCTGTTCTTTCCATAGTGTGGTACCCATTACAGGAACCACATGTCCCTTTCTAGGTACTGTATTTTTACCAATGCAGCTAAGGTCATGCTAATCTTTAGAAATCAACCATTTCATAGATAACTGCCATCAAGACAACCATCACCTAAATAGCTTTTTAAGAAGGCTAAATTGCTCTAAATTCTTCCTTTACATAGTTTATCTTTTTTTTTTTTAAATATATCTTTATTGATTTCAGATAGAGGAAAGGAGAGGGAGAGATAGAAACATCAATGATAAGAGAGTCATTGATCGGTTGCCTCCTGCACGTCCCCAACTAGGGATCGAGCCTGCAACCGGGGCATGTGCCCTGACCGGGAATCAAACCCTGATCTCCTGGATCCTAGGTCAATGCTCATCTGCTGAGCCACCACTCGGCCGGGCCATAGTTTATCTTTTTAATTCTAATCTTACCCTTCATCCCTGTAAAATCTGATCTATTGCATCAATCCCAGAAACTCAACTCTAAGGCTAATATCCAACAAGGGGCGATATCAGCTTCTACCTGACGTGCTTTTATTATGTTACCTGGGCAGCAGAACCAATTCTAGTCCACACCTTCACATAACTTCCAACAGAAATCCCTGTCCTGTTCTCTCCAGAATTTTCACTTAAAAAAAAAAAATGATGGAAGAAAAGTTTTGAAAAGGTTCAGTTCAAAATGTGACCCATATTCTTTCAAAAGAGGTATCACTTTTTCTGAACTTTACTTCCTAAAAAAATTTAAGGTTAATACAAACATCATGATAAGTACTTTTTATTTGTCATTACTGCTCTTCAGTGACTTCAAACAACTAACCTTAATTACTCTATATTCATTCTCACTTATTAAGTGGACTGGAGGCTGAGTCAGCAAGGGTGTAAAATCTAAACACAAAAGGTTCTAATGACTTAAAAAGGGGAAAAACAAAAAGAAACAGTTTACCTTTGGTTTTTTGTTCTGTGACCTGCAAAATAAATGAAGAGATATAAGTAAATGACATTTGTTTTCTAATTCGGTATTATAAGACTACTTTAATTCCGATAACTCAAGTAAATGCAGCTACCAGATACACAGGCAAAGTTAAAATCCAGAAAAAGCAGCTAGGAGTCAGTTCAGACATCCTTTTAAAGACAATGGCCATCATAACTTACATGGCATCATTATGAAGGATATTAAAAATTAAAACAAAAAGCATTCCACTCTCATTAAATGATGAGGTACCAAGAATGCTGTTTGCCATTTTCATTGTTACGACTCGAGAAAAGCAAATGGATATGGCACAGAAACTAAATTAGCCAAAGGGACAAAAAGAGTCCTCCTATGAGTATGGACTCACACACTGATCTCAAGTCTAGAAAGCAAAAGTTGAGGCCCATCATCAGAGGCATCAGGGATCATAGGAGGAGAACAGGATTCAGAACCAAGCTGTGCTACTTCCTGGATGTGCAATCTGAGTTTTCTATTTATTGACTGGAGATAATAATAGCATCTCCCTGCAAAAGGGTTGTTGTAAGGATTAAACAGATATCCTATGCCAATGTTCAATAAATGTTTGCTATTTTTATCAAAGTTAATATAAAACAGTAAGAAATACAGCAAGAGTGAAATATGTAAATTTTGAACAAATAAAGATTCCTTTGTTAAAAGTATTTCTTTATATAGTAACTAATATATCAATGGAAGTGATTAACCTAAAAGGTTGGACAGGCTGAATATAATAATGGCTTATTAGAGAGTTTGGAAATGATGATTCGGAGACATGTGGAAAACTGTTTCTGCTAATAAGACGGGAAAATAAAGGAGGGCACCTAATTATACATGCCCTATAATATTAAAACAAAATCACAAAAGGGCACACATAAGAAACCATCCAAAAGAAAATGCAAAAAAAAAAAGGGCTCCAGAATTCCAATAGGGGTTATATTACATTATTGAGAGCATAGGTAATTTTGAACCCTTTTCCCAACTGTCAATCTTCCAAAGCATTTTTATATTGTTTCTCTGACTTATAATACAAACAGTCATACAGAAAAGAAGAGGTTTGATTATTTGTGACTGGTAATCACACAAAGGTACTGCTATGGCTATTCATAAAAACACGCTCTCTTTGGAAGGTTATGTCCTATAGCTAACCAGCCCATTTCACAATAAAGTCCAGCATACCAGTGTCAGACATTGAATCTGAATTAAACAATCTACTTGCGTGGCCTCCTGGAGTGTTTCTTTTTACATTCAGCATTAGAAGACAAGCTAATTCTACTGTATTGAATTCCTGGCAGACAGTGTTTCCCAGTAGTAATTGTTACAGAGCTCAATTCAACTGCATGCTTTTTGTATAACCCCACTTATCCAAGAATGAACAGATCTGTATTCACATACCAATTCCTTAAGGCAATTTAGGTTTATACCATTGTAAATATTTCTTAGAATGCAATTATGAAGTTATACAGAAATTCAATGTCTTCCCCAATTGTAAATGACAAACCCAAATAATGTCAATGTCTTATAATGTGGGTTCTGTTAGAAGAGCTGTCCTCCAGACGGTGAAAAGCTGGATGATCAAAGCATGTGTTTTGCCAACACTAAACAATGATCCTTTAGCAGCATCAGCCTAATGAATGTTAATGGAATCCTTCTTTGACACCTCTCTTATGAATGAAAATCTAAGTTTGTTCAGTAATGGCTCTAGAAAGAGCAAATTGCCACAACCATTGAACACAATGGAAAAAGCTCATATTTAATTTCTGTGTGGAAATAATTTAATTTAGGTTTAAATAAAAGTCAATTCTTCAAGAAAATTGTTTGCCAGTACTCATTCTTTTTGTTTTGTTTTGTTTAAAATATGTTTTTATTGATTTTGGAGAGAGGAAGGGAGAGGGAGATAGTTGAAACATCAATGATGAAAGAGTTATTGGTTGGCTGCCTCCTGCATGCACCTGACTGGGGATCGAGCCCGCAACCCGGGCATGTGCCCTGACCTGGAGTCCAACCACAATCTCCTGGATCCTATGCTGATGCTCAACCACTGAGCCACGCCCGGCCGGGCAGCCCTCATTCTTAACCATTCACTTATTAAACATTTTTTGAGTGACTCTTATCCATCAGGCACTCACTATCCTAGTTACTGGAAATATAAATATGAATAGCCTGGCCGGGCGTGGCTCAGCGGTTGAGCGTCAACCTAGGATCCAGGGGATTGGGGTTCGATTCCCGGCCAGGGTACATGCCCGGGTTGCGGGCTCGATCAATGACTCTCTCATCATTGATGTTTCTATCTCTCTCTCCCTCTCCTTTCCTCTCTCTGAAATCAATAAAGATATATTTAAAAAAACAAAAACAACAACAACAAAAATATATATATATATGAATAAAATCCTGAGAAATTTACAATCAGTTTAATGGGGAAGACAGGAGCCAAGAGATGATTATAAAGCAATGGGCTAGGCAGCCAGAGAGATGTGGAAGGAGTAAGCAGCACCACCAACGCTTGCTGACTGACTGACTGAAGGACTGCATAACAGAACCTCTGGCACGTTCTACACAATTCTTTGCATCACAGCACATTTTATGCCTCCCAGCTGAGGTATCATCTCTACAATAAAGTTGAAAACTACTAAGACAATCACATAATGAGCTTTGTGTTCTCTCCTTAAAACTGCTAAATCACAATTTCATTCTGAAATTTTACAATGGTTCAGTATGGTAAAACAATACTAAAGTCCATGTGTTGGCCTAGATTCTGTGTCAGCCAATCTAGAACATTTTTGAACAAAATGACTGCATTTTTATTGTTCATAATTAACCATTTGAAATTTTATTTATTTATGGTGATTTTCCTCTTTACCAAAACTCTTAACCAATTCCTGATGCAGATACAGGCACACAGAGATCATCCAGTTAAATAAACTAAATTCTCTGCATAAATAATCCCAATTCACTCTTTTTAAAAGTTTTTAAAAAAATTTATTGATTTTAGAGAGAGAGAGGAAAGGAGAGAGAGAGAAACACTGGTTTGTTATTCCACTTATTTATGCATCATTGGCTGATTCTTGTATGTGTCCTGACCAGAGATTGAACCCGCAACTTGGTGTATTGGGATGACGCTCTAACCAACTGATATGGGGCCAGGGCCCCAATTCACTTTTTTTTTTTTAAAAAAGGGATTTAATTTTTTAAAAAAATATATCTTCATTGATTTCAGAGAGCAGAAAAGAGAGGGAGAGACAGAGATAGAAACATCAATGATGGGACAGTCATTGATCGAGCCTGCAACCCGGGCATGTGCCCTGACCGGGAATCGAACCCCAATCGCCTGGATCCTAGGTCGATGCTCAACCTCTGAGCCACGCCCGGCCGGGCCCCAATTCACTTTTGAATAAACCCACACCATCTTTAATTTTGATGGTTTTTCCATTAGTAGGATCCACAGTGGAAGTTTACAGATGCATAGTGTATTCATTGTTTCTAGATATTGACATTTTCAGGTTAAGGAAATACTGTTATCTCTGTGGGGAATGAGAACAGGCTGCACATACCCTAGTCAACTGCTCTATTTGACATCTTCTTGTTCCCAGCCTCTGCTCAAGTTCCCCAGCATCCAGCCTATTAACCATCCATTCCCAGACTGCACAATACAATTTTTGTACCAATTTAGTAAATGAAATGTGAATGTCCTAAATGAAAGAAAGCCTTCACAGAGGTTCACTCTCCCATCACTCCAGTTGGAGGGCCAGCATGTGTGGGGCACAGGGGTAATGCCGTATGGCTGGTGGACCTGCTTAGTTGCAACCTCAATGACCTGAAATGTGGCTGCATATCCAAAAGAAAGTATAAAAAAATTATCTGGGTCATTATCTGACAACTTTAGTCTAATTCTTTACTGTCAATTTAGACAATTCTAACAAGCTTAGGTTAGAAGGAAGACATCAGAAGCAGGTACCCTGATAGCAGGAAGATGTGATGGTGAGCACACCACTATTAACAGAAACAGAAACAGTTAAAAGCAGACAAAATCTTAAAGAGCACAGCAGTCTATTACAGCAACAAACAATAATGAATATTCGTTTTAATTAAGTCATGAAGATAAATTACATTTCATAGGTTTAATGTGGCAGGACCATACGCAATCCAATTCAGAAAACATTTCGTATTGGTTTTATTGCTGGCACTCATAAGTGAACTAATTTCAATAATTCAGAAAACTTAACTATGGGAAACGCTATATCCAACAATGCTGGGAAAACTTGCGGTGTCCCTTTTATGTTACATAGCATTTGAGACTGTTCTAAATCTAGAGTTCCCTCTGAACCTTTTAACAGTTTCCACCTCCCTAAACTTATCTTCAATAACCTGGGACCATGGCAGGGTTTTACTGTTTTACATTAGTAAAAACAGGTAAATGAATTTCTTAACACGCGCATTCGGAAGACCCACTTTGTTACAGAGCAGACTTTGGGCCTTAACGCCCGTCGCCTGGATCAGTGTTACTCTGCTGCCTGCCATCTGGGCTTTCCCTCCCAGCCTACTGCGGGCACCCACCTTCTGAGCGGCTTCTTTCTTCTTCTTGTCCTCCTTCTTCCTTTTCTTGTCTTCCATCAACTGCTCCGCCCCGTCTTGCTCCTTCTCTCTGTTAAGGTAACGTCACACCAGAAGGTTAAACATCCATATCTGTGGCGAATCAAATGTTTGCAGATGGTATGCAACCAACATTTCTTCTCTGTGACCGAGCAGAACACAGTATTTTACTTAAACTAAGAGGGTGCAAGCACTCACCGTATTTATCCCCAAGTCTGACTTGCCACCCTTTGCAAACATGACATTAAGTTTGCTTTCAAAGAAATCCATTAAAGTGAGCTTGTATGAGATCGCCCTAAAAGCGAGCACTCGGCGCGCACGGTTTCTGTACTTCATTCATCCAAGAACTCGGCGTGAACATGACGGTATCCAGCTGGCGTCCTGCAACCCTCTCCACAGTAACACGGACCACACCGACTCAGTTACGGTACAAGGCACCGATCATACTCAGAGGTTTCCCACATTGTCAGAGTGATTTAACACGATACCCTAGGTTCTATATCTTGTGTTTTTAGGCAGGTGCCAAGTGTTCTACACATCAGGTATTTTTACTGGGTGAGCTTGCTGTTGCATCTTCCTGGCACACCTGAGTAAGGACAGGCAGGGTTTGCTGCCCTCAAGTAAAATAAAAGAGACATGATGACAGACATCCTACCAGAAAAAACATGATGAATCGTAAGAAACTAAGATACTATAATTTATACCTCACATGTGAAAAGTAACTTTAATATGTATTCTAATATTATATAGAAAGCTGCCAACTTTCCTCTGTGTCAACTGGGAAAAAGTATAAGGGACCACTGGCATAACTTCAAAGTTCAAGTGAGGAGGCCCTGGATGCCTTGCTTATAAAATTCAGAATCTGAAGGAGAGCTGGAGATCTAGTTCCCAGGTCCCCAAGTATCAAACAGGACTTGTGATTTTAGGGGATCAACACATCAAATCCATGGTTTCAGAGATGTTATCTAGAAAAAGGCTAAAAGCCAGATAAATTAAAGACAAACATTAAGGTAAAAGTTTGCAGACACGGCCAAATCATGAAGGTGGCTCCGGAAGGACTCGAGTCGGGGGGTGTGGAGGTCACTCAGCGCACACAGGAGGACTGAGGGACAGCGCTGCGGCGGGAGCTCATGAGTAGGTAACTAATGCTATATTTACAGAAAACAACAAAACCCTAAAAAGAGTTTCACCTACACATCAAGTTTTCAGTTGCTCTGTCCGAAAACATTCACATTTTGTCCTTGCGTACCCTCCTCTGGGCATAAATACACAAAAGCCAAATGTGTACAATTCACACTCCAAAGGTAACTTTCATGAAAACTTTAAAAAATACAATCATGAAAGAGATGTCATTGAAATTTCCTTAGGTTTAGAGCTGGATTTCTTTGGAGGCAGATCATGTGCACATCAGTCTCAGTGCGGAGTTCTTGGTGGAAATCCACTTGGGGCCGTGCATTCAGAAAATGGATTTATAAATATTGGCAAGGTGGATGCTGACCATCTAAGGTCGGCTGACCACAGATCCATTAATTTTGGCTCCCAGGGCCTCCTGCTTCCTCTAGATGCAAATGGAAGAAGATGGGGCTCCTCATGACCCAGTTACCGTTACTTGGTTTCCACATTTTAAAGTGCAACTGACCTCAGAAAAAGAGCAAACCCAGCATGACTATCTCCTATTTAAATATTCAATGCTTTAAAAAGTTGCATTTTTCTAAATCTATTCTAAAATTAAAAGTTCATTTAAAAAATGCAATCTAAAAGAAGCAGTAAGTCTTTAATGAGACACATTCTTAAAAAACAACTAACCTTTTCAAATTTTTTTTCCTATAAACAGGTAATTCAGGGAAAGGGATTGAAATTCATGTTCACTAGAGGCAGATTTACTTCCAAAACAAATATTTTTCAAAGCTTTCCAGGAGACAGACTGTGCTTTCACCGTGATCTTTTAATGTGTATATTGGTAGAATTGAGTCTTCTCTTTAAATTCCACTTCCTTCGGAAGAATTTATTTTCTCAAACCAAAACTGAATTAAAAACCTGCCATTTACTTAATAATGGATCACACAGTGTGGGGTTCACCTTTCTTCTAATTCAGTTGTGCTCTATCTTGGCTGCACATTAGCATTGTTTGGGGAGCTTTAAAATATCCCAGTGCTGAGTCAGAGCCCAAGCAGGGTGAAGAGGGCGTCCGTCCATGAACGGAAGACATCTAGGTGGTGTTGATGCAGGACTGGTTACATAAAGGGGAACTGATCAATAAATAAGTATATAAGGATAGTGACAGGTTTCTCACTACTGCAAAAAGGAGTTAACAAAATGAAAAGAAAATGTACCCTGTGGAGTTGGATCAGAATTAATTATTTGCATGAACTCATGGCTTTTTAATACACTATAAGCACTTGCCTGTTAATCACTTTGTAGCCACCTCAGTAATCAGATTGACTGTCATAGCACAGTGCTTATGTTCAAGTAACCCTTATTTTATTTAATAATGGTCACAAAGCACCAATATGCTAAAAAGAAACCTTAAAGTATTTCGGTTAAGTGAAAAGGTGTGTACAGGAAAAAACACAGTATAGAATCTGGCACTATCCGTGGCTTCAGGAATCACTGGGAATCATAGAACATATCCCTTGTGCATAACACACACACACACACACACACACACACACACNCACACACACACACACACACACACACACACACACACACACACACACACACCAGCTCTATTACTGAGAGGGCTTGAGGAACAAACACCCAAATACCAATGAACACATCTCGCACCTAGATTGTGGCTTCTAAATACCATTCTTCACTAAAAAATCC